GCCAAAAAACTCACCTACAACAGAAACGATATAATAAAATTTACCAGAATCCGCCTAGGTCACTCCAGACTCACACACGCACATCTTTTTGACCGTAATCCGGTACCAAATTGCCAGTTCTGCAACAATACAAACAACACAACAAACAACACGTTCTAACCGACTGCCCCAAGTTCAGATCCATTAGAAACAATATTTTCCAAAACGTCGATCCTATATTATCAATTTCCTTTCCCACAACAGAATCCTTTGATAAAATCATCCAATATCTCAAGCAAACAAGAACATATAACCTAATATAATTTTTTTTTTAGTTTAATCTGTACATTAATAAGAAACATAATCTACCTGCATATTCTAACTGTTAAACAAGAACATATAACCTAAAATTAATTTCTAGTTTAATCTGTACATTAATAAGAACCATATTCTACCTACATATTCTATTCTACAAAAAACAAATCCAATATCTATATAAGCATATTATCCCTATCACTATAAGTAAGCCGAAGGCCTTGCTGCTATGGCTTTAGTCATAAATTAGCTTATAATTTTAATTATAACCTAATTATTAATAATAATAATAATAATAAATTTAAAGTACAAAACAAATTTTTTTTTTATAAATCGAAAACAAAATGGCGGCTTTGCAGCCTTTATTCGTAGGCCCTATTTTTTTAAAGGGGGTCCATGGCCGAACACTTAAGGCACCTTATCACCTTGTGGGGTCAAAAAGTGCTCTTTTTTTAGGAATTTTTTTTGAGAAAACGGTTAAAGATACAGCGCTGAAATTTTCGTCAGAATATAAACATATATTTATTCAAAGAATACAAATTTTGAACTTGAAAAAATCCAAAAAGGGGGGGGAGGGGGCGCCCATTGGTGGCGGCATGCATTTTGCTCCCGTGCAGGATTGGCTGAGAACCCGTGATCTGAAACAAAAAAACCGAACACATTCTTAATTAGTATCGTATCATCTATCAAATGACCCTCTATCATGGAAAAAAAATCAAAATTCCAAAAGTTATGAGGTTTTGAAAAAAAAATGTCAATTTTCGCATTTTTTTCTGTACTGATTATTTTTTTAAATAAACAATTTCCAATATTTTTGGCTGGTCACGGGTCATTTGTTAGAAAAAAACCCTAAGGAACATTTTTAAAAAAATTTGGTGACGATTGGTTCATTGTAGCGTCTTTAATCCTGCACGTAAGGTCCAAAAACATGGTTCTGAGAAAAACGCGTTTAAAGTTTTGGCTTCAAAAAGAAATGAACAAATATCGTAAAAAATGATGGCTATAACTTTCGAAATTTTTCAGATTTCGATCTGAAACTTTTACAGCACATTTTTGGAACATATATCTACACGATAAGACAAAAAAAAAAATCGATTTTTTGGACCCCACAAGGTGATAAGGTGCCTTAACGTCCTTAATTTAATTTTTTTAATTTTTGATCTAGAACAAAAAATCAAGTTTGGTTAGTTTTTGTACATTAACGGCTATCGAAAGCCGTAGGATTTTTTCGATATATTGATTTTTTGCAAAATGGTGCGTGATTGAAAAAAATTTTCAATTTTCACGAACAAAAAACGTAACAAAATTGTTGATAAAAAAAAGTAAGCAATATAAAAAAATCCTATGTGTGTCGATAGACATAGGTATTCTGAGTATACTGTAAAAATTTTAGATCGATAGGTTAAGGGTTGTTCGAGTTATGTGTTCGGCCAACTCAACAAAAGCGGTTTCGAGAAAAACGCGTTTAAAGTTTTAAGTACTGTGGGATATACCTGTGAGGCATCGCCGCAGAATGAAAAATTTCGACACTTAGACACTTTGGCCGGACTTTTTCTTTTGATATGTTATTTTTAAGACCCAAAAGAATTTTTTAAAAGAAAAAAAAAATTTTCAATTTTTTTAAAACTCTACTCAGATGTCCCCCCTTAAATCCGCCACTGCTCAGTACTATGCTTTAGTATATAAAATATATGTATGTATGTTTACATATAAAAGAAAAATTAAAATTGATGTGCTCTATTATTATTGGTATCAGTTATAATGGCAAATATTTCATAACCATTTGCTATTTTAATTTAATAACAGCAAGAACTTTAAACAGTTTTTCTCCTCCTTGCGGTCATGGCTCAGTTAAAGAGTTGCCGAAAAGTCGTTATCGTCAAAGTACGTGGGTGCCAAACGTGTTGGATTTCAAACTTTTACGTTTTGCCAAGCTTCCATGCAACACAAGACTGTGTTGGATTTGAATAAAACGGACCACTAGATAACTTTAACAGATGGATTGCGTCACATTTTTCCCCTTTTCGCCAGTGAATGAGTAGAAATTCAGAGAGTTTCTCGAATGAGCGCGATAAAGGGGTTTTTCTAACGTCAACGAACTTTATACATAGTTTATCTTTTTTCTTTGTTAAAAAAAAAAAGAAACAAAACAAGAAAGGAAAGCTAACTTTGGGTGGAGCCAAAGTTTTATACAAGCGGTGCCCAAAACCCCACATCGGTACTGTAAACGCAGTGAAGGAGACATCTCCGACCATATAAAGTACATACATATATGTATATATTTTTTATGTCCGTATGTCCGTCTGTCACTTTCTACGGAAACTACTCTCTTAGTCTTAAAGCTAAGATTATAAAGTACATACATAGATGGGAGATCAGGGCCCAAAACGGTCAACTTTTTTCTTCGGACTTGTAGGGGGGAACGCACATGTATACAATTCTATTTTTAGAACTCTTTACATGTATGCGTTAAAAAAAATGTGTGGCTTAGTATGTACGTGTCACTGCCTGCACGACAACGTAAATATGTTTTGGCTTCCAAGGAAGATTGTTTACAGTAGTAAACCAGGAAGGAGCCGCCGTAACCGGTAATGGGGTCCCCTATGGCGGCCTGTAGGAAGACTTTTTCTTTCCCCGAATGGAAGAGGAGGATAAAGTCGACATATGGTTCCACCAGTACGGCGCTATGTGCAAAATCGCACAGAGCCAACGTTACAATCGATATTTTGCGCGGTACGTTCGAAAATCGAATAATCAGCCGAAACGGCGATGTCACCTGGCCGCCTCGCAGCTGCGATTTGACCCCTTTGGACTATTTTTTGTGGGGTGCCGTCAAGGATAAATATTACGCCAACCACCCAAAGAGATTGAAATGGCCATCAGGGCCATTGAGGACCATACAATCGAAAATGTGTTTAACAAGAAAGAAAAGATAACTTTGGACGGAGCCGAAGTTAATATACTCTTGCAGATAAAACCGAATATATATAGCAAACATCGGATATAGTTGGCCGATCCTTATGAGAATATCATAATAAAACCAATGAATTACAATAAAATATCTCAAACACTTTGACCGGAAATTATCTTTTAATATGTTATTTTTAAGACCCTAAAGAATTTTTTAAGCGTAAAAAAAAAAATTTCCCATTTTTTCAAAACTACTCAGATGTCCCCCATAAACATAAAAAAGGTTTTTTAAGGTCAAACTATTCATATAACAAACTAGCAAAACCGGCAAACGTTGTTTTGCCCATTTTTGTTTTCTAGAAGGGCTAGTTGTTTTTTTTTCATTTATTTTGTGTTATAAATATTTTACAGTATTTCCAGTACATCCAGTATTTTCACGTACAGCAACTTTCCCATCGCCTATATCTAACAGTTGTTAAGAGAAAATTTCGGCGTATGGATCCCGAAGCATTTGAACACGCATATTCTTCGTCAGATGAACTTTTTTAACATTACGCCACAGTTGCGATGATTTTAAGGTAGCATTAATTTAATTAGCGCACGTAACTGCGGCATGGTCACACGCGCATTTTCATTATCTTCTTCGATTTGTTATCCTGATCTGCGTTCTCTTCTATCTCGCGCGGCTCTAGAATTGACCGTTTGACGACTCAAATTGGCCCAATTTGGTGTAACATAACAGGACTTTCTTTTATATGTATAGATAGTTTTTTGTGTGGAGAAAAAAATGCATCCAAATTGGCCGGAATTTGAAATTTTTGAGTCATACATACATATTTATGTATATTTCGATTCATATACTGACAGTTTTGATTTTGATACAATTTTGAACACGGTGATCTCGGAGACTTAAGAGGTAGAATTATCCGTTTTGAAACTTTGACTCCTATCGTATCCACGCAGATCAAGTTTTTGTCAAAGTTTTCACACGCCCTCTCCGGTCCCCAAAACTGAAGTCTTGTAGCGCTACTTCAAAAAAGTTTGTGGAAAATTTATTTTCAAAATCTACAAATCAAAATTCAGAAAAATCGAACCACTTTTAGAGAACTTATAAACTTTTTATTTTGGTTCCTCCTAGATTGCTTTACTTGTTATAAATAGAACAAAGTAAGATCAAAAAGATAACTGTTAATCTCACAATCATCGTATTACTCTCTTCTTTTGTTACGTTGTTTTTGTTGAGAGTCTACAATTTAAAAAGTATTTTTTAATTTTTATATATATATGTACATATATACTTTTAAAGACTTTAACCGTCCTTCCTAATTTGTATTTAGAACCTACAAGCCTCAGTTCGTAGCCCCAATACGCCAAAATTTTGTCAAAAATATATATTTTTTTTAATTGTTTTACCGCTTAGTACACTTAGCCACACAAACAAGCCAAAATGTTTTTTAAAATTATAAATTATTGAATTAAGATTGCAATATAGATAACTCTCTATTGCGTGGGAAAAGACTTTAGTAATAAATTATCATAATCTGATTTTTTGGCGAAATATAAAAAAGGAGACTTGGAAGTCAATTATCTAAAGGTGGCAAATTGATAATAATAATTAATAATAGTAACAGTAATTCTGTTAGCAAACAAATTAAAAATGGTATTTTACGATTTATTTTTTTATATATATATAAAAAATATATATATATATATATATATATATATATATATATATATATACGCTATAAATATATATATATATATATATATATATATATACATATATATATATATACGCTATATACGCTTTTATTTTTTATGTACCATATTACAGTTACTTTTTAAATTAGATTACATATATATGTATAGTCTAAGTCAAAACGAGCGATAACCGCGTCCATCGTGTGTTAACGAGAAATCAGTTAAAATAAAGTATGCGCAGGCCTTACTTTTTTGCTCTGAGTGGTAAATTTAAAAGAGAGTACTCGCTACAATTAATACGTAAATGTGAAAGAAAAGTTGTCGTCTTGTCGAAAGCGTTTAATAGGGTCTGGAACGCATGCCTCCATCGCTTCGAATCGGTCCTCCCCCATCGCGCCGATTTCCACCGGCACCACCTCCACGCCCACGACCACCTCCTCCGTTGTCGTTGTAGCGGGAGTAACCTCCGCCTCCACCTCCGCCTCCTCCAGAATTTCCACCACGGTCCCTGCTTTGATATCCGCCCCCGCCAGATCCACGATCGTTGCTACGGTCGCCACCATATCCACCACCACCTCCTCCTCCTCCAAATCCGCCTCCACCACCGCCACCAGAGCCGTCTTCGTCGCCTTTAGGAGTTTTGCAGCTAAAAAATAAAAAAAAAATACTATTTATTTCTTACTCCTTATTCAAAATTTTTATAAAATTTAATCAATAATTTTAAGTATTCTTTATTATTATAATATTAAATTATTAAGCTGGCTCCATTTTTCACTTTCACAAGTTAAATACTCTCTTTTTGACAAAACGCAAAAGAAACGTGTACCTGTTTTCACTTTCATATTTTCTGTGATTTTTGAAAACGAAAGATCTCGCCCAAAAGAAATTAAAACCTTGATTAATTTCCGCTAAATTTGTACAGCGTGTATACATTAAAAACCTTTTCCTCACCGATTGCATTCATTACGCCAAGCGAAGTTAGTGTTGTTGCAACTGTTGCACTTCCAGTCGCCATCTCGAGGCTGAACATTGCCAGCTCCACTTCCTCCACCACCGCTGCGATCGAATCGATTTCCACCGCCGCCGCCTCCACCACCCCCACGTTCGAATCGGCCCCCGCCTCCTCCTCCGCCACGACGGCCACCAAATCCTCCGCGACCACCGCCTCCCTTGCTCCAGTTGTTTTGACGTTGAGCCAAAGACACTTTAATGGTGCAGCCGTTAAAGTCACGTCCGTCAAACCATTCAATTGCTGATTGCGCCGCGTTGGTGTCGTCGTAAGTTACAGTGGCTTCGCCCTTGGAAGCTCCTGTCTCCTTGTTCTTATACAGCCAAATCTTTGGCTTCATTGTGCGTTTGTCTTTCTGAAATTTGGGAATACAAAAGAAAATATTTTGTAAAAAAAAAATGCTACTATGACTAATCTTATCCAAAAAAAAAACAAAAAAGACTTGCCTTTATTATTCCAATAGCTCCGAAATGAGTCTCAATATCCTGCTCTGTTGTTGATGGATCCATGCCACATACAAAAATCGTGTCCTCTTGGGTGATCATGTCGCCGCCACTGCCTCCACCACCGCCAGAGTATCCACCGGATCCTATAAAACAAAAAAAACCTTAGAAAACGGCGACAAAGTAGGTAAAGCTCAGTAATATAATTCCCTTTCAATGAAGTCCCCAACATTCTCTTATTAATACAAACGAAAATGGCGTAAGGCGCATGTGCTCAAAACCAGAATATTGAGGAACATCAAAACACTTATTAAACACTCGATGAGACATAAAAAGCGCCCAGTACCAATGACCAATAATAGAAACATATGCGAGGAGAACCCCAACAAAGTTAATATTTGTAAATATGTAAGTTTATTTAATTGTAACAGTAATCTACTCCCAATAAACTCTGCAGAAAACCTTTAAAAAAAAAAATCAATTATCTGGTCACATTAACCGTATTTAACTTTAATTAGATTGTTGCTCCTAACAAGTTTAAGCCGGGAAAGAAACATTAAATTTGCTCTTTATACGGTTTGTTTTTTTAGTTAAATTTTCCTTTATCTTTTCTGTTTATCTTCTGATCAAATTGTATCTTTTCATTTTGTTTACGTCTTTTCATTCAGTATGTAGAGAAATATTGTTATACGTTACTCGATATTTTTGCAATTGCTTGCATTTTTTTACCTTTGTTGTAGCTGTCCTTGCTGGCGCCTCCATTTCTAAAAGAGGATATTGAATAACTTATTTAATACTTTAATTTTGATTGTTTGGTTGTAATTCAATATTGTAAGTTATGCACCTACAATCCCCACGAACAAACAATTTTATTCCCTGCGAACTCTATGGTACGGTATCCAAACGTCCTGTCACCAGCACAGTTTGGTCAATAAAGAAATAAAGACATTGAAAGTCGAAACTAATCCCCTATTATTTTGATGCGGATGCATATAGTGGGGCAAAAAACTCATATATAAGTATTTTTTATTATATGGATAATAATTAAATAAATGTATGTTACTGCAAAATAAAGCACAGAAATAAAAGAGAGGGAAGATTGACTTTTTTTATTCCAATTTACGAATTTTTACGAAATTACCCTCAAAGTGGTGAATGTTACCGTAGTTATGTATGTATGTATACATAAAACAAATAGATCGTATTTTCTATAAAGGCTATAGATATGCATGGGAAAAAATGCTCGAAAATTAGTTACAAATTTTTAAGAATTTATCAGCACGGAGGATAAAATTCAATTGACACACAAGCATCCCAGAATAGCTTAAATAAACACCGGAGTAAAAGAACATAGATTCAACAAAAAAAAATTAAACCTTTTTCGAAATAAAAGAAAATAGTAAAATGAAGCAATTCCTAAGTATACGAAATTTTACCACCATTCGGTAAATATGTCGAAAAGTTATAAGTTATGACTAGAGTCGAACATATTCAAGTTATATTTAGTGGTACTATTTAAAGATTATACTGATATATATTTTTTTATGCTTTTTTTTTTAATAATTGAGAATACAGTTAAAAATAATTTAAAATATAAAATTGTACAAGTACTTACGGCTTTTTAAGCTTTATGTATAAAATTACATATTTTAATCATAAGAATCGTATATTATAATCGGTTAGAGAAAGGAATACATTGTAATCTTTTACTACTGTATAATAAAATAATTAAATTTTATAAAGGTACAGACTGCAGCTCTGCATGTACTAATCTTCGAACGGATCTACTGCAACTACTGCAACTTCGAACGGATCTTATCGAACAGATCGGCCGATTATTTCCTATAACTACTATATAACTGAGCGCTCGAAAATAAGAATTAAAACCCTAATAATTTTTTTATTTCAAAAATGTAAAAATTTATTTTAAAACAAGAAAGGAAAGCTAACTTCGGGCGAAGCCGAAGTTTATATACCCTTGCAGTTAAAACCGGATATATATCGCAAACATCGGATATAATTGGCCGATCCTTATGGGAATATGCATATATAATCCAATTTATTACAATACAAAATCTAAAAGAAGTCCCAAACTTCTATCTTCAAAAATACCAAAGTTGGTATTTCTACCAAAAACCATTTCCGATCGTTCAGTTATATGGCAGCTATAGGATATAGTCGGCCGATCCTTACGAAATTTGGCATGTCGTATTATTTTTAATTTTTTTAAGAACTGTTGCTAGAAAAGCTTTCTTAAAAATAAAATTCACTATTTTAGTGCCCATTCAAACTTTACAATTACGAAAAATTAACTCAAAAACTACTTTTTTTTCCCTCAGTGCATGCTCTGCTCTCATGGTATTTTTCTAAGCATACACTCAAACTTTAAACAAATGTGCGTTTTGTCCCCCATTGCTTTAACGTTATGGATTCTCAGAAAAAAAATGTTTGTATACTTTTCCTGTAGTTTCCTGTAGAAAGGAAAGCTAACTTCGGGCGGAGCCGAAGTTGATATACCCTTGCAGTTAAAACCGGAATATAGAATAGAATCTGTACCAAGTTCCAGCTTTCTATCTTCAAAAACACGAAAGTTGGGTCATTTCCGATCGTTCAGTTATATGGCAGCTATAGGATATAGTCGGCCGATCCTTATGAAATTTGGCATGTCGTAATGTTTTGCCAAAAATAGCGCTCATGTCAAATTTGAACTCTCTAACTCTTAAAACACCAAAGTTATAACATTTCCGATCAATCAGTTATATGGCAGCTATAAGATATAGTCGGCCGATCCCGGTCGTTCCGACTTATATACTGCGTGCAAAGGAAAGAAGGGTGTGTGCAAAGTTTCAAGTCGATAGCTTTAAAACTGAGAGACTAGTTCGCGTAGAAACAGACAGACAGACAGACGGACATGCTCATATCAACTCAGAAGGTGATCCTGATCAAGAATATATATACTTTATAGGGTCGGAGATGTCTCCTTCACTGCGTTGCACACTTTTGGACAAAATTATAATACCCTCTGCAAGGGTATAAAAAAACAACCGAAGCAATTCAGTAGGGAAGCAGAATTAAAAGTCTAAAACTCCGATTTGGCTGAATAGGCGTGGACTAGCCATTTGAATCGTTTGGCATTAAAATATTTCCTAAAAACATTAATGAATTGGCGCTGCAACGAGATTCATTTAGGGGGCGTGGAAAAAATTTCAAACAAACTTAAAATGCGTGGGCCTTATAGGAGTCTCCATACTAAATCCTATAGCTCTATTTCATAGTCGCTGAGTCGCTTTTATTCGGTGGATAAAAGACTGATGGATGGACGGCCAGACAGACGGCCATGACTATATAGACCCGTCTGTTGATTCTGAACAAGAATATATATATACTTTATGGCGTCGTAGATGATTTCTTCTCTATTACTGTGTTTATGGGATGCCGAATTCACGCTTTCCTTCACGATTTCAGCCGATTCGTGTGTGCATAAACGCCATTTCGTGATTTCGGCCACACGAAAGTTGACAACGAATTCAGCCCCAAAGCATGAATTAGTGATGCGCAACCAACCTAACGCTATACATACAGGTGGCAACGCCGTGCGTAAAAGTTGAAGCCTAGTACTGAGTTGACGAAAATCCGCTGTCGAAAATCCGCTAGAGAAATCGCACTTTATTAAGCTACCGAGCCAGTGTGACCAAAAAAATTAGGAAAAACAGCTGTTGTTTGTAAACAAAAAAAAAAAATAAGCAAAAATGAATTCAAACCGATTGGATTTTGGTGTTTTCTTTATGTTTTTCGCCGCTAAGGAGCTAATTTAGAAATAGAAAACTCGGTCAAAATCAATCACAAATCATTTCAATGCCATTTTATGGCATTAAAATGCCCCTTGCGGGTCAAATCCTATATTATGGGCTTCACACTGACCGCACTAATTAATTTCAATTTATCCTCGCGCGCCGAAAATTTTTCGGGCCGACTATTTTTTTGTTTTATCAATTGTCCCTCCATGTTTCACCTATAAAAATAAATAAAATTAGTTCTTTCAACTCCCCGAGATCAGCTGTTTATTTGTTTTATCCGGCAACGCCATTCAATTCGATAATAAAATTTTCGTCAACACAGTACCGGCAAAATCCAGGAGGCAAAAATTTCTTCTTCCTTTTTTTACACCGTTTTTTTTATATGGAGTTTGAAAGCTGTCGCTCGTTCGACAGCGGATTTTCGCCAACTCTGTACTAGACTTGAAATTTAAAAAAAGTTTGGAAATTCATTTTTCGGTTCTTATTTTCCGATTTTATATGAGGAATTCAAGTTTATCCAATGCCTTGCTTGTTCTTTTTACTTTTTGTGGAAGTCTGACCACCTCATTTTTTTGAGTCTGAAAATACCTAATTTTATACGGCTGCCTCTACTAAAATCAAATCTTAAAATTATGTGTCGCATAAAAAGTTTTTTTTCTTTTTTTCTAAGCAAATACTTATTTGCCATGCCATAAGTGCAATTACAGTGCCACTGTCGTTGTCCGTTGACATGTTGATAGTTTGAAAATTTATCGAAAAATTATGTTCGCACGAATGTTGGCTCTAGTTAGTGAGGAAAATGAAATTCAAGTAGGCGAGCTTGTTGACGAACATGCTCGCCTGTGGATGGGACCCTTTATACTCTACGGTACTCGAGTATAAAAATAAAGATTTATTGATTATTTTAACATATTGATTGAAAAGTTTATTAGTTCCCTTTTGAGGTCCTTATTTACCGTAAAACTATTTTTAAAAGATGAATAAATTTTAATAATAATGTTTATTTGTTTTGTTTTATTGATATTTGATAGATAACATAGTGTAAAAAAAATATAAGTGAATTAACTTTTAAAGTGACATGGTAGAAATTGTTTAGTAGGAACTGTATTTTCCTAATTTTTACAAAAATTCTGTCATTCAGAACACATACCAATGCTGTCTCATTCATATTGAATAAAACAAGACAAATTTCATCAAGAAATTATAAAAATTGTTAAAAGTTGTTAAAAAAAAAGTCAATTCAATCTTGTGATCCTCTCGAGCGCTCGCAAGATTTTTTCAAAAGCTATAACATTAAAATATTAAAAAACGTCGGAAATTTTAAAATTGGTTTTAAAATTTTTAAGATGTTACAAATATTTCACAAATTTTAAAATTTGTGTTATATTCAAGCAGATAGAAAATCAAAAACGTTTCAGCGTACATTGACACTGAATTTTTTTCTATATCATACCGAACATTTTAGTTTTCATCATTATGGTTTTACTAAAAGTTTAATGGATAGTTCGACGCACCTATGAAATTTTGCACCGTTTAACCATACTTATATCCTTTTTATAAGTTTTTTAATATTTTTTAAATAATATTTTTCTTTGTTTTTTAAGACTATTTTCTATATATTTTTATATATTTGTTTTGGCCAAATGCAATTAAAAACAAGAAAGGAAAACTAACTTCGGGCGGAGCCGAAGTTGATATGCCCTTGCAGTTAAAACCGGATATATATCGCAAACATCGGATATAGTTGGCCGATCCTTATGAGATTATGATAATATAACCCAATTTATTATAAAACAAAATCTAAAAAAAAGGTCCCAAACTTCTATCTTGAAAAATACCAAAGTTGGTATTTCTACCAAAAACCATTTCCGATCGTTCAGTTATATGGCAGCTATAAGATAAAGTCGGCCGATCGTTATGAAATTAAAAAGAAATAGAATCCGTGCTAAGTTCCAGTTTTCTATCTTCAAAAACACGAAAGTTGGGTTATTTCCGATCGTTTAAGGGCCAAAATGCCCTTTCAACCGATACCTGCGTAGCAGGCACAGCATGTACTACCTGATCCAGACGGTATAAGCGTGGATACGTGCATTTTTTCGACTCCCAATAGCTCATGATATTCACGCTTGGATCAATGGGCTTTGGTGAATTTTCATTTATTTCTGTTGCCGCCAATTTAAGCTTGGGTTCATCATCGTCCTCAGAGTCTTCGGGCATTAGTGCATTAAATGCCTTAGGTGCATTTTCGGCCGTTAAATTAGTAATTACTGATCTAAGATGCAACCTTGCCGAAGACTCAGTGCAAAAGTTAATGTTCTTGAAATTAAATAATTAGCCATTTATATATTAAAAACTAATACATTTTTGTAATTTAATCTCGATTAATAATTTAATGAACTACTCTTTCTCAGCCGCCGCAACAATAGTTGGGCTATTTATGAATACTGCCAATACTGCACAGTTACATAAGCGGATAAACATATATATGTATGTATATATATATACAAACTTATTATATACCATCTGAAAGGTATAGATGTTTAGATCATATATATACATATATATTGGATCTGGCTTCTACGGATTAAAAGATATATACAGTGGTGCTCATAGACTTAAGCCACAAGACTTCAACCAAGAATTTTAACGAAAATTAAGAAAAGTTTTTATTTCACAGCTCCAATTATTTGTGTCACATTAGTTCTATATATCAGTGTCCTAATAGAAGAATAACCAAGTTATAAAAATATATATTCAACGAAAAACTTAAAAAATCTCAGGCCATCTCCAAAATGTCCTGCTCACATACTTAAGCCACCTAGAAGAAAATGGTTGAAAAAGTTTGAAAATTTGCCCAATATTCCTAATTATTGTAATGAATTTACTTTAATATTGAGTGGGATGACCTTTCTGCTTAAAAACAGCGGAGCAACGCTTTGGCATTGAACCCACAAGACGTGCGCACTGTTGAGGTGTGATTTTCTTCCACTCTTACTGCAAAATTCGCCACAAATCGTTTTTATTTGCTGGTTTTTTTTCCCAACGACTTTTTTAAGAATTCCCCACAAGTTCTCTATAAGGTTCAAGTCGGGGCTCTGCGGTGGCCATTGCAAAACATTGATTTTCTCTTGGCTAAGCCACGACTTGACTATCTTGCTGGTGTGTTTAGGGTCGTTGTCCTGTTGAAATATCCAGGCAAGTGGCAAATTATCAGCATATTTTCCAGATAAATTGTTAATAAGGATGTCCCTGTACATTTTGCCGTTCATAATGCCTTCTATCCTCACTAGGGGACCTGCGCCCGATGCGGTGGAACAGCCCCAGACCATAATCGAAGCGCCACCATGTTTAACGATCTTCTTCGTGTATTTGGGGTCCAATTTTTTGTTGGGAGGACGTCGTACATATGGTTTACCATCACTCCCAAAGACATTTAACTTGGATTCGTCGCTCCAAACAAACAATCCAATTTTTTGTTGGGAGGACGTCGTACATATGGTTTACCATCACTCCCAAAGACATTTAACTTGGATTCGTCGCTCCAAACAATCATGTTCCAAAAATTGGGCCCTTTTTGAATATGCTCTTTGGCGAATTAAAGGCGCTTTTTAACATTTTTTTTTGCCAGCTATGGTTTTTTTTTGGGCAATGCGTCCATATAACCCGAATTTATTTAGCCGGCTTCTTATGGTCTTAGATGACACATTCACGCCATAATCTGCCATCATTTGACCTCTGATTTGCGTCGATGTCAAGAACGGATCGGCTTTACTGATTTTGGCAATCCGTCTATCGTCGTTTAAAGTGGTTTTTCTGGGGTTTTCACCTGAAATATTTTCCTAGGTTCCATGTATCTTATAAAATGCAATGGCATTTCTTACTTTGCCACGCGAAAAATGTAATGTCTTACATACATATTATATGAATATATGTGTTTTTTTCGTAATATTCCCATATTAGCTTTCTTTCGGCCGGATTTGTATTTTTATTTTTAGCCATAGCGATCAAATTGTTTTGGGAAACGTATTAGGTATTCAATATTTTAGTTTTAGAAAATAACTAGCACAACTTTCCCGGAAAAATCACGAGTTTGACGATTAAAGCTTAAGGTGGCTTAAGTATATGAGCAGATCGCAATGCTCCTTTTTGAAATTTAGTCATTTTTTTGGGACCCCCCGAATTCCTACTTGTCATTTTTTACTGTGATCAGCTGCTTAAATAACAGGCTTGCAAAATGTAAAAAATTTCACGCAAAAATAAATATGTTCAAAAAAGTTATTAAGAAAACAGTCTATGGTAGTGGCAGTGGCTTAAGTCTATGAGCACCACTGTAGATTCAATCTTTATTTTCAATTTTTAAAATAAAAGTTATCGAATTATTTTTATTTTTCAATTTATATAATAAAATTTAAAATAAAAGATAATTATTAATTTTTATATACAAATTAATACTTCATAATTATTAATAATTTTTTATTATTAAAATTAATTTTAATTAAAAATCAATTTTTTCGTAAAAATTAAGAAATAACTTTTATTTTGTAATTTTTTGCTTTTTTAATTATAACCGTTACAGTCCCTGATAGAAACAGACAGACGGACAGGCAGATGGACAGACGGACATGTTTATATCAACTCAGGAGGTGATCCTGATCAATAATATATATACTTTATAGGGTCGGAGATGTTTCCTTCACTGCGTTGCACACTTTTGACCTAAATTATAATACCCTCTGCAAGGGTATAAAAAAAATTTGATATTTGGTCATGTTCATTCAATGCCGTTAAATCCATGATCTGTTGTGTATACACTATTGGTGAAAATAATAAGTACACCACCATAGGAATTTTTTGACCTCTCGTCAAAGATCGTTAAAAATAATTACAGCAATTCCATACAGTATGTAACTTAAAACCAAAAATTTTTTCTTTCAGTTTGTTTTGAATTGTAATAAATCCATCCATGTGTACCACTGATTTGGTGATTTTGGCATGTCAGCCATTAATTTGTAACATGCTTCCAACAGAAGTTTTTTTTCTTCCAAATTCCACAATTATTCTGCGTTTAAAAATGCAGAGAGGTCTTTTTTAAGGGTCTTTATAGTGTACTGGGCTTTAAATTATTTTCCTTTGGGGTATCCTACATTTCTTCTTGAGTCGTTACTAATTAAATTTATATTTTTTTCGTGGCTCCATAGGACAACATTACTCTACTTTTTGGAACCCCCTTGGGTCCTCTGCGCCATTGTATGATTTTTGGCATCATTTTGGGCAAACTTTTTATCAAATCATTTAATTCGTTTTACGCGAGATAGTTTCTTAGCTTTAAAGCAGAGGTCGGCACGGCCCTATCTCGGGGGCATAGGAAATTTCTCTGCCCGAGCTCTGCCACGCACACACAGTATACATACATGTGTGAAACGTCATGCTCACAGCCTACTTTCTGCTATTCGTTACTAACACTAATGCGGTAAAATCATATTAATGTATTGGGGTGCCGACCACTGCTTTAAAGCTAATTTTGAGACACTTTTCTAGGCTATCAACATAGTAAACACAGCGTAGATACAGTTTAGCCACAGTTGGGTCAGATAGATTTGGGAAACTAGCTCTTATTTAACTGAACAATCGGAAATTCGGAAAAAATGCCATAACTTTTTTGATAATTAAATAAATAAAACATAAACCGTTCTTACTTAAACATTATTTGACTTCAAGGGTATAAAAGCATCGGATCTTATCGAAGTAAATTTGCCTTTTTTTTAAATTTATATTTTGTGTTAAAATTTTTTATGTATGTAACCATATTTACTATTGGTGTCTCCCATGTATACTTTTTTGAAGATATCTCATTAACTGCTGAGATAAATTTATGTAAGTAGTATTTTTTGCAACACCTTTATTATTACCCTCTTGAGAACAGAATTTTGTGTTTCATCAAATTCTTTTCTCCTTATTCCAAAGTAAACGTTTGCGCTCTTAGGGAAACATTCTTTTCATCGATCGAGTTGTTCATACATGTTTTTTAACCTTATACTCTTATAGATGTTAACCTCAGTGGACTTCTTCCATGATACAATCATAACATAAAATATCATTAACATACCCATATGAATCTCCTCCCCTTTCGTTCCAAGAGCCGCTTGCACCACTATTAGAAGAACCACGATGGCCGGAATCATAACCTTAAAGCAAATGTATCGGTTTACCAGTATATAATGCATCCCAAATTGAACTACTCACCACCGCCTCCATGCTTACTGTAGTTCGGAGGTGGTTCGTTATAGTTTCCAGATTTATTTGGCATTTGCTGATAGTTTGGCGGGGGAACAGCAAAATTGTTGTAGCCTTGCCCGGCACCACCACCATAACCGCCACCTAAATAGCACACATTCAATTCGTATTGCTTTGTGCATTATAAATTCAAAATAAACTTACGATCCATCACAAACGAATGCTAAAACAGTCTTTTTTTCTTATGAATACAATAACAGGAGTATTAATACTCCTTATGCACAAGCCGCTTAAGGAAATATAGCGTCACTTGGGTACAAAAATTTTATTGTAAAAATGGCGTGAGAAAATATGTTAGAGATGTGCTAAGTGCAACTGAGAAGGAAAAGTTATCGAAAAAAAATACTCAAATACTAAAACAAAATATTAAACAGTCGTTTTTGACAAAAATAATGTTCGTATACGGTTGTTATACCATATACTCACGCTCATATTTATCGTGGCGAATGGTTTTGAATACATTATTTCGAACGATCGAATGATTTAAGGGGTTATATACAATTGTGATTGATTAAAAAAATTGTATTGCATATTCTTTAAGTATATACTGTTGAGAATACTTGCACAAAAATTTATAACGATCGGAGCATTAGAACCGAAGTTGTATCTATTTATAGCGCACTACCTGCATATAAAACTTGAACAAACTTGAAACTTTAAACGCGATTATCTCAGAATCTTTTTTTTGGGAAATTACCTTTGCGGTGGACACGATTACTAAAAAACTACTAATCCGATGAACACCAAATTTTGACCACTTATTTATTATGATATTATCTAGTCCGTGAACGAGGGATTTTCAAAATCGAAAATCTTATACCTTGAAAAGGTACATTTTTTGTTAAAACCGTCGCCATTTTTTTATAAATCAAAATTTTTAAAAATCGCTCGTTCACGGACTAGACAGTACACTATACTAACTAAACTTTGAATTTTGGATTTCGGATGAACCGTTTTCGGGATATCATGTCCACCGCAAGACACCATCGAAAAAAGACGATCCGGGAACTCGGCTATAACATTTTTAATATGTAATATTTTTTTATGAAAAAATTTAAATAAGTACCCAAAAACATGTACTAAACAACGTCGGTAAAACATTTTTCATAAATATTTTCTATAGTGTCAAAAATAAATCAATAAAATTCCATTTTTTTGTGCGGTACAACTGTATATAACCCCTTAAAGAAATATATACTTAAGTGAACAAATAGCATAATAAATATGACAAATATCTATACAAAAAATAAGACACATTTTTCATGATGATGCCGATGCAATCTATTTCCTGGATACTATATATAAGAGTACGATTTTTGAAAATGTGTAAATTTTCTAATATGAAATATGAAAAAAATTCGGAATAGTTTCAATGTTATGAAAGGTCTAATAATATAAATCGTTTTCGGGCGCTATCAAAACTAAAGCATAGTACTGAGTTGACGAAAATCCGCTGTCGAACGAGTGACAGCCGTCAAACTCCTTATAAAAAAACGGTGTAAAAAAAGGAAGAAGAAGAAATTTTTGCCTCCTAGATTTTGCGGGTACTGAGTTGACGAAAATTTTTGTTATCGATTTCAATGGTGTTGCCGGATCAAAAAAAAATAAACAGCTGATCTCGGGGAGTTAAAAGAAATAATTTCATTTATTTCTATAGGTGAGACATGGAGGGTCAATTGATCAAACAAAAAAATAGTCGGCCCGAAAAATTTTCGGCGCGCGAGGATAAATTGAAATTAATTAGTGCGGTCAGGGCGAAGCCCATAATATAGGATTTGACCCGCAAGGGGCATTTTAATGCCATAAAATGGCATTGAAATGATTTGTGATTGATTTTGATTTTGACCCAGTTTTTTTTTTCTTAATCAGCTCCTTAGCGGCGAAATACATAAACAAAACACCAACATCCAATCGTTTTGAATTCATTTTTGCTTATTTGTTTTTTGTTTACAAACAACTGCTGTTCAGTATTACCATATTTCTTAATTTTTTTGGTTACACTAGCTCGGTAGCTGAATAAAGTGCGATATCGTTATCGGATTTTCAACAGCGGATTTTCGTAAACTCAGTACTAGGCTTAAATGTCAGACTATAAGACATGATTTTAAAAAATTGATACCTAAAAATTCTCAAAAACGAATCCATACAACAAATTTTTAGCTCCGTAGATTTTTCATACTAATTGACAATTTTTTTTTTTATTAAATTCAATTTTTTTAAACAAAAAGGATACAACTTTTACACAAGAATCTGACATTTTTGTCGTGTTTAACGCCATTTTAAAGGTATAACTTACAAGAAATGGTATCATTTTTGACATATCAATATTGCCTCATTAATCCTGAATAAAACGAGCCCCACTTCATTACTTTCACAGATTTTAAAGTGACATAGTAGGAATTATTTATTAGGTTGAATATAGTAAAAACCGTGTTTGAAATATTTGTAACGACCTGAAAATCTTGATTTATTTAGAAAAACCCGTTTTTTTGGGACTTTTTCGCGCTTAAAAATTCCTTAACGTGTAATTATAAACCGATTTTAAAATTTCCGACGATTTTCAATAGTTTAATGTTGTAGCTTGTAAAAAATCGATCTTAAATTTTTTTATACAACATGATAACTTATTTGCACAAGAATCTGACATTTTTGAATTTTTGTGGTGTTTTTTTGGACTTTGACGCCATCAACGCCATGACGCCAAAAGGGCAATCAATGTTATTAGTGACTATTATTGACAAATGACAAAGCTGCCGGGTAGAGGGTCATTAATCCTTAGTTACCAAAAAATGAAAATTTACTGCCAAATAAGACACCTAGATCTAACACCTCCTCTATAGCTGTCAAACTATAATTGTCAATAGAATAACCCGTACAGATATCAAGATTCCGCTTACTGTAGCGGGTTAACAGATATTTCGATAAGTTTAATGGGAGAATTTAAGGGGAGAACCATGAGGAAACTCTGGATATATCCTCCTGTAACAACTCCTGTAACTGTCACAAATAGCCTTATAGATTTTAAGGTCATCCGCATTCATCAAAAAGTAGGCATGACGAAGCATGCGCGATGAAATGTCATTAATTAGAAAGGTCCCAGAGAGCTGCCTTGTAGATGACCAGAGGAGGCGAATAAGGGACTTGAGATAGCGTATCCAATAGGAACGTGGCATAGTCGGTTAGGCAGATCCGATTCGAACCAACTTAATAGGCAGGAATGAATACCCAATTTATATAAGTTGGCCAGAAGGGCAGCGTGACACACTTTGTCAAAGGCTTTGCAGCAGTCAGTGTAAATGGCATCAACCTGAAATCGGTTCTCAAAGGCTTCAATGCAGTGCTTAGAAAATACCGCTAAATAACTTGTAGGTTTGTGTGACTCGGTAAAATATCCTGTGGCTTCAACTAGGACACAAAGCAATATGTCCATATAATCACATATGACTATAACTATAACTATAATTACAATTATAAATATTCTAATGCCCTTAATTGTAACCTACACATACATACAAGATTAGAGATAAGATCCACTGTAATTAATAATTAGACTTTAAGCTCTTTCTGATCGCTGCTAAGAGCTAGCAGAATTTAGACCGTACAAGAGTTCAGACGTAATAATGAAGTCCTACTGAGAGTCTATAAACCATATATTTGTCTAACACGTGAAACTCAATAAGCAATTCGGAGCCGGCTGAAATAGCTCCTGGTCCCAAAAGACACGGAGATCGAAGAAGATCTGGCACTTGTAGGACCTCTACTTAACTGGGTCCAAGCATCGACATAACTGGCGACGAGGATTAACAAAAAAAATTAAACCACTCGTTCGGAATTAAATTCCAAAAGCATAATCACTAACACGCGTAGTAAACATACGAAATACGACCATAGCAGTCGCATAAGCAGCGGCTCAAGCATAATCAAGTCAGCCTAATCAGCACATAAGATAACGGCTCTATCCTCGCCTGATCGGTTCACCATTTCCATTGTTGAGACCGAGCTTTGGCAATCATCATCACCGCCGTCGCTTATCTTACCCTACAGAGACTGCCGCGTTGGACAATGCATACAACATAAAATCAATCATCGTTCTGCATTCTATTTAGCGGGAGCTGTACTATTCTAAAGGACTGCTGCGTTGGAGCTTTAATACCATCACAGAGTGCCGCGTTGGACAATAACATGCAAAGTAAAACCAACCACCGTTCTTTATTCGCTTTACACTATCCCCAGACCCTCACTGTTCTAAAGTAAGCTAATAACTTTACACATTACTAACCTACATACAAAAGAAGAAAACAAAAAAATGAATACCGAAATAATTGCATAGAATTATACAAATTTATATAAAATAATACAAATAAATTGTATAAAAAATATTACAGATTTCGATGGATCAAAAAAAAAAACCGGCTTCCAGATTTCATAAATCAAATTAATGACTTAATTCCAACTTTTGAGAGTTTTGATGAATAATCAAAAACCCTTTTACTTAATTACATAAAAAATAATCGCAAAACAAACATTATATCCTGGAACCTATTAAACTAGATTTTGATAAAACATTTTGGGGAAAAAGAATGTAGCGATGTATTGATAGATACCCTAAAATGATGTAGACTAGATTTCACAATAGAGCAATATTACTGTAAAATTAATGAAATTGCTAGTAGAATACATAACCAAATACTGGCACACTCTAACGAGCCATTTAGTAAGGAGAAAGTTAATAGGATATCACTAAGAATATTTAGGGACAATCTTCCCGAACCTACTAAAACAATGATTTTTTCTAGGAATCCGCAGTGATTTGACGACGCATAAAAAATTATTGAAGGACGCTCGCCACCAAAACTATGGGCCCATTCGAAAACAGTTGTATAATAAAACTCCCTTTAGAACAAACTTCAGTAATGATAATTATAATCGAAATAACCCAATCCAAAATGTATATCAGAACCAACCACGGCCAGAAAATAACCTTGGTACTTCAAATAGGCAAAATATTAGAAGATTCGCAAACAATCATAATAATTATTTTAACAGACTTACTGCTAATCCAATCACTAACTCTCGAATGTCCTACAATACCATCCAACCGCAACAACTATAACCCTAACAACGATACTCCTCCAGATTAATACAAATTTTTAATTAAAAGCCCATCAAGATTACCCTACATAAAAATAGAATCCTCCGTAAGAGACTTGCTATTCATTATTGATACTGGAGCGGATTTCAGTATCATCAATGAAAATGTCTGCCACCCGAAGTAGAAAACTAAAATCGATGCCCAAGTAAAAGC